ATAATTGTTCTACTACTGTGATCCGAACTTTCTCATGTAATCCCTATAAATAGAAATGTATCCCTAAATATTCAATAAGACCATTTTTTATCAAATTGTATCGGGATGAAGAGTTGTGTCTCTGTAACTCCATTATTACTTGCAGGTGTCCAAGTCCCAAAAACGACTCAAGCGATGGTACTTGAAATCTTCGGACGTGTCCCACCAAAATCCTGAGTTAGTTTAAAGTTCGGTTTGGTTACNNNCCCCCCCCCCCCCCCCGGAAAACGGAGAAGATGACCGGTTTCTAAAATGATGATGCAGAGAAAGGTAAGACTTTTGATGATGCAGTTACCTAGTTTTCTAAAAGTAGGCAACTTATGTCTAACTTTGGCTGTTGCTGCAACATTGGATTTTCCCACTTTTTTGGTTTTTGTGTTGAGTTCTATTGGAATAATGCTGAGCTTGGAATTGTCAAGGGTCTGTTTTGCCCTTTGCTTCTTAGCTTTAGGTTGTGTTTTGCCAAGTTTTGACATTTCACCAACAACATTTTGGTTGCTCAGTATATGCACACACTATTGTCAGCAATCACAATGCATTTTCAATTTTTCATCTACTCATGTGTTTTTATTGATTATTTGATGAAATAATCGTCACGTCACCTATTATTTTGAATAAAATAATATAAAAAGTTCACTTCATTACATAAATTGTCCAAGTTCACACGACGAGATTCAATAAACTTTTTTTTAGTGCACGAGATTCATTAAATGACATTGATGCTTTCAGAATTTTTATATGTTATATCTGTGCTTTGAATTTGGTACATCGATGTAAACGTATGTTCATGTTGGAGCACTAATGTCGTTTATTAAAAAACTTGAAATATTTATGTAAAATTGTGCAATTTTGGTAGTGATGTGAATTTCTCTTAAAATATACTATTGTTCATAAGTATTTGTCCAATTTTGAGTTTTTGCACTCAAAAAAAAATTTAACCCTAATAATAGTAGTAGTAGTAATAAAAATAATAATAAGAATAATAAAAACAACAACAATAGTAATAATAATAACAATAACAATAATAATAATTTTATTAGCTATTATTATTATTATTATTATCATCTAAAAAGTTTTAATAGGTATATCAAAACATGGCCTTTGACTTTTTAGTGGTCAATATATTATTGGATCGTCCTTGAACTCTTTTGTAGGGTTGTAAGCGAACAGAATCGAAGCGAATATCGTAATATTTAAATTTGTATTTGTTTAATTTTTTCGAATACGAACCCGAATACGAATATGAAACGAATTAAACATAAGATTTATATTTGTATCTGACTAGTATTCGAATACTTAATAAATCTTAAACGAATATTCGAATAATCAAACTCCGTAATTTATGTCTATTTTAAACAATTTAACTTACAATATTTCTTATATCATACCAAAAAATATGAATACATTTGCGTTTTACACAAATTATAATTTATAAAATATAACTATTAAAAATCATCAGGTCTAAGAGTGTTTGTTCATGACTTAGAGTTATCGGGTTCGAGTTGACCCAATGGGTTAAGAGACGTATTTAAAAATTAAAATTTTTGCTATTTAGAGATCAAGTAATCAAAGCATTATTCAAAAAAAATGAACGAAATCATAAAAGTAAGTTTGCAGGTCTATTTGCAGCATACCAAAAAAATTGCAATAGACCGAAAAAATTAGACTTGCAGCACAAAAAGTCGCAGTAGATGAACTAATTGAAGATTCTTTAAACATACCACAAAAAATATATGCATTATACAAAAAATTGAGATTCTTGCAACATACCAAAACAAAAATTAGCAATAGATGAAAAGTCAGATTTTGGTTTATATTTTAAACATGATACCGTCATTACATTTTGGTAGAATGTACCAAAATATGTACCGTCAATATATAATTGCAGCATAAAAAAATGCAGTATACCAATAAAAATTACAGAGTACCAAAAAATTTATAATATACCAACAAATTTAGAAGAAAAAAATTAAAACTTGAGGTTAGTCGCAGACGCAACTGAAGAAAATGAAATTTGATTAGAATTTCCACATTTCCAATATTGTTCTTGTGTTCTCTCACCATTTTGATTTAGTCGGCACCTAATATCGACGGACGGTGGAAAAGAGGAAGAACGAGAGAGAGAGAGAGAGAGAGAGAGAGAGAGAGAGAGAGAGAGAGAGAGAGAGAGAGAGAGAGAG